AGCAGCTGATGCAGGCGTGTGGCTGCTCAGTCACTCCTGTTCGGGCAGCACGTCCCCTTCCCCGGCATCCTTAACTTGTGCAGGGTGCGAGTCCTGTGTCGTGCGGGAGGGAGAGGGGGCACCAGGGCTTCCAGGTGCAGTAGTGGTTAATCAGCATTATCTGTGTCAATATTTTAAGAGATGCTGAAGCGTGCAACTGCTTTTCCACTTCTGACTGCTGTTAGAACGTGTTATCACTGATCAGAGGTGAGCAGATGTATTGCTCTCTTACCTCCCAAGAGAAATCCTGCCTGCTCCCTTTCCAGGTGTATGGATTGTTCCATGTTTGCTAACTCAGATGCTTTCCCCTTCAGCTTTAGAAAAAGAGGCACAGTATCCATATCTTCTCCTTGGCGAAGTCCTAGGAGCACAGCTGATAAACACAAAGATCCTGGAGCTGAGCATCTCCTCTTTGAAAGGGGTGCATGTACCACAGGATACAGAAACAATTTCCTTCTCTTTATTTTATGCCTCAACTCCCTGACCTGGTGAGAGAAGAGAGACTTTGCTTGGTGAAACTCTTCTTTTATTTGTTTTCTGACTATAGCTAAATTTAAAAAAACTAATTGAATTGCAAACTGCAGCAAAAAAGAAAATGTAAGAGCAGAAAATGAGATGTGGCCTATTGCAATTGCTTCCCCTTTTACTCAGACATGTCTTAGCAGAGAGATGCTGCTCTCACATAAAGCATCTTGTTCACCATGAACTGGTGGCAAGCTGTTGAGCCCAATGTGGGAAATACTGAAAGGGACTTTAGCTTTCCATACTGTAGAGAAAAGTGCTGCCATGTTCATACCTTGCGATGAAACACTCTGCTTGGGTACAGCAACAGTGCATTCCCATCCAGCTTTGACAACTGTCATGAAAACCCATTGTAACATCTATAGACTTGGCAATCAAATGGTTGTTTCTGACTGCCTGGCTGATTCAGATACAAGGTTTGGAAATGTCTAGGATGTCTGACCATTGAGTCTGACAAGCAGAAATCCTCCTCTCATCACCTGGTTTTTCTTCTCACGTAAAAGCAGTTTGTACAATTTTAAGCATTTTTCATTAGAGTCAGAATGATAAAAGTTTATGAAGTAGTTAATTGATACTATATTAAGAAAGGTAAGCTAATAAGAGTGTTTAGCAAAGTTCTGAACAATTTAAAAGTACCTGTTCTTTCTGTGCAGTCCTAAGTTTCCAGAGGCACAGGGGCAGACCTACTGCAGCTATTGAAAAGAGTATGGGAATTGGTAAGCAGAGTCTAGGAAACATGTGAGGTTTGTTCTTCTCCTTGCAGCTATTGCAGAAAAAGGAAACTGAATGGATGGAAAACCTGTTATCATCAACACTGCTCTGCTTCTGCTTATAGAGAACAGCCATGCTCAGTTCAAGGTCCCGGCTTGATGAGAATGTATGTTGTAGACCCCAGATAAAATGTTTTATCATGAAGGAATACTCCAGTGTGAGCAGCTGGAGTAGATAGCTTAGTTCTGAGAACATGTAGGCTTCATCAACAATGGGAACTTTGGAACCTTCAGAGATGCTAATTTGTCTGAACTGAGGACTAGACTTAAGGATGCAGAGGAACCTGCTACTTCCGAAGTTGGGAAACAGTTGTTGCTTGCAGCAGACTGTTCTTGTGCATCCAGGTCCTATCCCCACTAAAGTGAAGGATCCTTGAGCCAACTAAAGCATAAAGAAAATTAAAATCACACAGCGTGTGTCTATGGGGCTGGAAGGCCTATAAATGCATATAACAGAATCATTAAATGGTTTGGGTTGGAAGGGACCTTAAATACACTCTCATTCCAACCCTCTGCATAGGCAGCGACACCTCCCACTAGACCAAGTTGCTCAGAGTCCTGTCCAGCCTGGCCTTGAACACTGCCAGGGATTGGGCTTCCACAGCTTCCCTGGGCAATCTCTTCCAGTGTCTCAGCAACCTCATAGTGAAGAATTTATTCCTAATGTCTAACCTAAATTGACCCTCTTCCAGTTTAAAGCCATTACCCCTTGTCCTATCACTACAAGCCCTTGAAAAAACTCCCTTTCCAGCTTTCCTGTAGGCCTTACAGGTATGAGAAGATGCTACAAGGTCTCCTTGGAGTGTTCTCCTCTCGAGGCTGAACAACCCTAACTCTCTAGCCTTTCTTCATAGGAGAGGTGCTCCAGCCCTCTTACCATCTTTGTTGCCCTCCTCTGGACTTGTTTCAACATCTCCATGTTCTTTTTGTGTTGGGGGCTCCAGATCTGGATGCAGTGCAGTACACATATACACACATTTGGCCAAAAAGTGGAAGGCATGGCTGTTAATGGTTAGAGAAACCAATGGTTAGAGAAACCCTTCTGAGGCACACCAAACCAACAGTTCAATTACTTGATCAACAATCTAGAGAGACTGCACAAAACAAGATCCAGACATTAAGGCTGATGAGGTTTTTCTCATCTTTAACCACTATTATCCTTTGTTGATTACTCATGGGAGAATTAACAGTGTCAGGCATGTATGACATGCCATAGGCAAATGAAAACAAATTACACCTACTGAGAAGGGCTGAGGGTTTTATGTTTCTGTCAAAGCATGTTGCTACACTGTCAATAGCAATAATGTTAATAACTTCCTTCTGTTTTTAGCAATCCCTATCAGATCCTCCAGTTCTAGTGTTTGGGTTTTTTAAGTCTTTAAAAGATTATTCTTCAGCCTACAACACATTTTGCAGAACTGAAAAAGAAAAGGCTGCATTCTAGTTATATTACAACCACTGCCAAGTGATTTCATGATTGCAAATTGTGCGTGTGGGAAGAAAACAAGGTGGTGACTATGGTGTTTTGAACTCTTGCCGCATTTTTTCAGAGGAAGACAGTTCCACATTCCCAGAGAGACCTGCTGTTTGCACTGTGCTCTCTGCTCTCTAAGTGCTTGATAAACAATTGCATCAACCCAGCTCTAATGGAT